GCACCACCCAGCGCGTGGTGTCTCTTGCGAGTGAGTGCCAGCCCCGTCATCTTTCGAAGGATCGTCGCCTTATCCTGGAACGATTGAGACGGGGCGAGTACTGTTTAGCCAAGAGCGTTCTGAGGTATGCAGGTTATCGCCTGCTCCCAGAGCCCTAATCCTTGTCAATGGCTGCCCAACGGGGGGCGCGGTGCGAGTGGGGACTGCCCGGCGTTGCGCCGTTAGTGACCCTCGCACCGTTGCTCCCCGGCCCCGCGCACGGCGCGGAGTGTGTCCGATGGGCGCGGCTAATGGCGGTTGCAAGGTGCGCCCCTAGCCGCGTTCGAGGTCCTGCTGAGGCACCATAGACTCTGTGGCGCCCCAGGCTGTGCCCAGGAGGAGGAGGAGGAGGGAGGAGGAGGAGGAGGCCCGACACTCCGGAGCCCGAAGCTCCCCAGATCACACCCTTCACACATGCTGTGACCCCGTGAAACCTCCCCCCCCACTCCCCCTCCACCCTCACACGGGGGCCCGAGTCCAGGAGACGACACATGCTGCCGCTCAACCTCAGGGTTCTACTTCAGCGGGCGGTCGGATGACTGTCGGATACTGCCCGAATCACATCCGCCACCACTCCCCGCAAGTCCTCTGCGCTCTTGAGACAAGTCACACGCTTCCGGATAGCCTCGGGTACCTTCGTGCACACCTCAGGGTTGCCCGCTCTCCAAATTGCCGCAGCAGCCACGTAAACGAAACCAGGTGCGAGAAAGCTCGGCGGGCTGGAAGCTCCCTGCACCAGGACTCGGAGAACCCGACCCAGCCCATCGCCGACCAATCGACTGCACCTGTCTTCTTCGTCAAGGGACCCCCAGCCCAGCCGACTGACATGATGGGTTCCCTCGAGCATGGGGGGTGTCCCAGGGGGGGGTCCCAGGGGGGGGTCCCAGGGGGGTATCCCACGGGGGGGGGTGCAAGTCATGGCCGGCGGCATGCGGCATGTGCGCGGCCCACGGGGGGGGCCGAGGACGCATGGAAATAAAAAGGGGGGCCATGAAATCTGGGGAGACGTCATGGCCCCCGCCGTGAGATCCCCCCCCCCTCCTAGTCCTCCCCCCCCTCTTGGCCGCCCCCGAAGCGCGGGACCACCTGCGTGGCCTGGCCGGGGCCTCCGCCCGTCCGGGGCCCGCTCTGCCGACCGCTGCTTCCCGGAGCAGCCCCCGCCCGAGGCGGGCCCGCGGCGCGCCGAGGTCTCGGCCGGCGGGGCCCGTGTGGCCCACGTGGCCGAAGGGGATTGTGTGGTGCCCGTGTGGGGTTCGCGGGGCCCGTGGGGCTCACGGGAACTGTGGGGACCACGGGGCCTATGGGGCTCATGGGGGCTCATGCGGCTCTCGGCGGCAGGGAGCTCTCGCAGAACTGGTAGGGCCGATAGGGCTTGGAAGGCTCATCCAAGGCTACACGAACGGCGATGTTGCTTAACGGTGACATTGGAAACCGTACTGTAGGAAATCAAGAACCACACTTTCCTACATTTCCGATCTGCGGGTGTAATCAAACGAAAACGACAGCGAATTGCAGCAAAGCATGCGCAGCGCGTTCCCACAATACCGTAACCTACATCGCCGTTACCTGCATCGCCGTTATCGCGTCTACGGCTCATGCGAGGCTCATGAGGCTCACGTAGAAGGTATAGGGCTTAAAAAGGCCCATGGATCCCTTAGGGCCCGTGGGGGGTCATAATGCGCATATGGCCCACACGCCTAATTCTTGTACACGGTTGTAGGGCTCATCGGGCTGTGATGAAGATACAAGGGCTGAAGGGCTTATCTTGGTTAAAGAGCCTGTAGGGCCTGCAGTTATGTCGGGTCTGTCCCTCTACAGGAGGAATATCAAAAATTTGTCCAAAACATTATATGGGGACTATTTTTAATATTTGTTGACCATTTTGGAATGTTCCGCCGACAATAGTTTAATATTTGTGATTATTTGTTTTTATAGTTTTCGCCGAAAATCCCCCTGTAGGGGGACACGCCCGACCTAAGCCTATAGTGCGTATGGTGCTTAAGGGAACACAAACTCCTAACCGATGAGCACCCTGCCGCACCCCGGTCTGGAGAGATCCAACACCAGCCCAGGAAGGGAGCTGCTCCACAAAGGGGCCCAGGGCAATCTGAACTCAGAACATAGGAGCGACGACCTTTTGAAATCCTGTGCAAAAGCCACGCGTGGAAAGGTCCGAATACCTTCCGGACTGAACCAGGTGAGGGAGTAGAGTAAAGAAGAAAAGGACGTGGAGGAGTAAGAGGAGAAGGAGGAGGACGAGGAGGAGGAGGAGGAGGAGGAGGAGGAGGAGGGGGAGGAGGAGGAGGAGGAGGAGGAGGAGAGGGGGAGGGAGAAGAGGAGGAGCAGGAGGAAGAGGAGGAGGAGGAGGAGGAGGAGGAGAAGGAGAAGACAGGGGGACGGGGAGGCAAGGGTGTGTGGGGTGGGGGGCGGGGGGAGGAGGTGGAGGAGGAGGGCATGGGGGGCAAGGCGAAGACGACCCTTTCCCCCCCACTCCCGCGGGCCAGCACCGCAGGCCGGCCGGAACCTTGGGGCGAGAGACCGGGACGCCGGCCGCGGCCGCGGCGTGGCGCGAGGGCCGGCCCGCGCGGAGCGCACACAAAAAGTTCCCGCGCCAGGCAGGGCGGCGGGTGCGAGGGAGAGAGCGGGGACAAGTGCGAGAGAGGGAGCGAGAGACAGAAAGACTGGCCCACACACGTAGATGTCGGACTTCGGAACCCCCCGGACCCGAAAACGCGTTCGTCTGTTGGGGTTGCAGCTTCTACTTCTGCCGCCTTCCGCCGGCCCTCCGCCGGCCCTGCCGCCTTGCGCCGCTGAAGAGACGGCGACTCCTTCGACCCGCGAAGGCAAGGCCCAACTCTGGAACGCCCCACATACTACGTAAGTATATACGGAGTCTATACGTGCACACGCATCCCACCCCCTCAACAAGATTGCTGGGGTCGGGGTGCTCCTGTGCGCGCTCGCGTAGCTCGTGTCCCAACCTCTCCACACCTGCCTCGGGTGCGCCCGAGAGTCAGCTCCCTCGTCGCTTCCACCCCCACGCCGCACCCTCGCGGGGGGGAGATGATGCGCGTCGCATCCTCGCGGATGTCTCGCTGAGCGACTGCGGGCGTTGGAGGCTCGCCCCGCGTCTGAAATATCGCGCGAGAGAGCGAGGTGTTTGGTAATGTTCATCGGACCTCAACGGTTGCCGAACCAAGATGGTCTCTAACAGCCGCGCCTCGCCGAGTGCGTTCCCAGAATGTCGGGATCGTCCAGAGCGACCGCATGAGGCCCGAGCTATGACCCGACGACTACCAGGCGGGGACCCAAACCTCCAACGTGTTCAAAACCGAAATGGATGTGTTTCGCCGCTTTCGACGTCTGGGGGCCCTCGCCGGGCCCCGGGACCGTCAAACAACGATCCAGGACAAAAAACAAATATACCCGGCAAGTGGTCCAGAGCTCAGGGGACACCGGCTTGAAAAATCAAGACATCGGAGCTCTGGGGAAACAGAGTCATCGGGGGAGGACTGGCACGTAGCTGAAGGGCTGACTGTCCAGAGGACTCATCAACATCAGCTAGACACGCACGCAGCACGGTGCGGAGTACGATGTCGAAAGCCGCGAGTATCCTCTTCTGGGGGTCGGCGGAATGGCGTAAGCCTATTGAGTATCAGAGGGAGGACTGGCACATGGGTTAAGGGCTAAACTAATTAAACCTATGCCCCTGAGATTCAAATGGTGGGGGTGATAAAATTCGGGGTCCAGGGAGGATGCTTAACTGATTCCCGGCGGAAGAGGATGTTGAGGAGGATGCGGAGGATGTTGATGAGGATGATGGTAAGAATGATGATTCATGACAAGAAGATCCAATTTACGATTCGTACTTTCCCCTTTGATAGTCAAATTCGGCCCCGCCGCTACCCGCCGCCGGCCAAAAATGGCTTGGCCGGGGATTATCAACACTCAGGTCTTGAGGGGGGGATGCTTTATTATCAGGGGCGTACGGTTAGCATTACGAGATGGTAGGGAAAGGAAAGGGGAGGAGGAGTAGGCGAAGGAGCGATGCAGAACAGCAGAAGACAAAGGGGAGGACCAGGAGGAGGAGGAGGAGGAGGAGGAGAAGGAGGAGGAAGAGAAGGAGAAGTGCTGCAGGAAGAGGAGGCAATAGAGCAGAAGCAGGGTGTGGGAGGAGCATGGGGAGAAGGACGAGGAGGTGGAAGGGGACGACGAACGGAGGAGGAGGAGGAGGAGGAGGAGGAGGAGGAGGAAGCAGGAGGAGGAGGAGGAGGAGGAGGAGGAGGAGGGGGAGCAGGAGGAGGAGGAGGAGGAGGAGCAGCAGCAGGAGGCGCCGGAGCACAAAATCTGACGGGGATCGCTCGGCGGCTCCTCCCTCCTCGCGCACGGCGCGAGGAGCTCTCGCCGCGCGATCGCTCTCGCCGCCTGCCCCCTCACCCCCCGTGTTCTCCGCCGCTGCTGCTACTCCTCCCCCACCCCCATGCTCCGACACCTCCCCCTCTCCCCCTCCGCCCCCTTCGCCCTCCTCCCGCTCCCTCCCTCCTTCTCTTCCTCCCTCCCACCCTCCCTCCTCCTCTTCCTCCCCCAGTCCTCCACCTCCACTCCTGCTTTTTTGCTCGTGCTCCTGGTCCTCCCCTCCTCTTCCTCCCCCTCCACCTCCTCCCCTCCTCCTCGGCCTCCTCCTCCCTCCTCTTCTCGACCTCCCTCCCGCTCCTCCTCCTCCTCCTCCTCCTCCTCCTGCTCCTCCTTCTCGTATTTTTCCTTTCCTCCTCCTCCTCCTCCTCCTCCTCCTCCTCTGCTCCCTCTGCTCCTCCTGCTGCTCCTCCTCCTCCTCCTCCTGGCTCCTCCTCCTCCGCTCCTCCTGCTCCTCCTCCTCCTCCTCCTCCTCCTCCTCCTCCTCCTCCTCCTCCTCCTCCTCCTCCTCCTCCTCCTCCCCCCCCCTGCAGCCCCTCCTCCCCCTCCCCCCATCGCCCAGCCATGGTCATGCGAGCTCCCGCGCGGCGGTCCGCTTGGCCCTCACGAGCCGGATGCCCTCCAGCAGGCGAGCCCTCGCCTCCCACCCGGGGCCGACGCTGCTGAAGTGCCCGGGGAAGAAGCCGTCCTGGAGGGGAGGTCGGTCGCGCCCAGCCTCGCGGGGCCAGTCCCAGGCATGACCGCGTCGTCAAAACATCAGGGCGGGAGGTTTTGTGGGCCGTTGTTCGGCCCCCCGGGGGCCCTCACCGGGCCTCGGGAGCGTCAAGAAACGACTCGGGACGAACAACTGGTCCCAGGGAAAGGGTCGGGACTTCCTGGGACCCCATTTTGACAAAAGTCAGGACGTCGCATGTCTGGGGCCCGACGGCAGGCGTCGGAGAAATACCCCCCGTCCATTTTTACAGAACTCCCTCGTGCACCCCCCTCCTCTTTTTGGAGGCACCGCCCTAGAGAATGCGGCACAGCATGGCATGGAACAGAGCCTCAAGTTATGCCACGCCATGATATTGCATAGATGTCAGCATGTGGCCTCAATTGTGTTCCTTACCGGGGTCGTGCTCCCCCCCCACAATTTCTGTGCCGTATTATGCTGTCTCCCTGACGCAGACAGCATACGGTTGGAGTTGCAGAGATCGCGTGTGATATGGCGCCCCTGGCCCGCTCATTATGCGCTATCCCCCGCTTGGGGGATAGCATGCACAGGGGGAAGGCGTGCACAGAACAGGCCCTCGAAGGGGCATCTCCTCACAGGGACGGCGTGCACGGAGGAAGCCATTGTTCTGGAGGGGGGTCGAGGGTTACTTGTGTCTGTGTGTCTTTTTTCCCTCCTGCATGGGGATGAGGGAGGGAGGTGCTGGGTGGGGGTGGGGCGGAGAGGGGGGCGAGACTGCTCCGAGAGGAAAAAACGCCGAGGGACGCGCCGGGCTTCTGCCACGGCGCTGGCGCCCCGCGGGGTGCCGCTCCGGCCCGCTCCCACCCGACGTGTTGCTCCTGCTTGCTCGTCCGTCGTCCTCCTCGTTGTCCTCCTCCTCCTCTTTCTCCACCTCCTCCTCCTCCTCCTCCTCCTCCTCCTCCTCCACCTTCTTCTCCTCTTTCTTGTTCTGGCTGGGAGAGGGGACACTCTTATCCGACCCTCCCCCCCACCAAAAGAGGAAACAAGCATGCACACCAACCTTCACGCACACCTTCACACACACACACACCTTCACACACACACACACACAACACGAAAAACGGTGCCGCCTTCGCCACTCGGGCCTCTGGCTGCCGGCGAAGGAGTGGCGAGGGCGGAGGGCGGACGGGAAGGCGAGAGCAGCCTCCGTGGCTGCCCGTTGTCGTGGAGCGGGGGAGATCTCTCATTCTCCTCCTCGGCTCCTCCTCCTCCTCCTCCTCCTCCTCCTCCTCCTCCTCCTCCTCCTCCTCCTCCCCCTCCTCCTCCATCTCTCTTCCTAATGCGTGCCACATGCCTGTCGCACCGCCATTCCCCGTGCATGCTTCGATCTCGTGCGTGCATTTTTTGCTGGCACCATGACCCAAAAGGCTCCTCGGTGGCCGTCGCCACAACCATGCACACATCCGAGCGATGCCAGGCAATAGGGGGTCGAGGCGCCACCCTTGAGCTTGCAGTCAGGAGCTGTTGCTTCGCCTGTCGCGTCGCTGGCCCCAGCGACACACTGTGCCTCGAGAGCGGACAGCGTGCCGCTCCGCTCCGCAAGGGCGGGAGGCTGGGAGAGGCTCGGGACACTGACGCTTGGGGAAGGGGGACGTGGACAGCGTGTCGCGCCAGACGTCGTGGTGGGCACCGACGGCGCGACACGCGAAGCTAAAGTTCCGGACCGGGTCACTCCCTGCCGTTGCCCCTGGCTTTCGGACATGCGGTCCTCTGGCGGCCGTTCCGGACGATCTGGGCCATCCCCGGACCGCTCTCGGCGACGCGCGCAGCCGCTGGAAGGCATCCCGACGCTGGGAAGTCGCCGAGAATCCACGAAAACGCACCAACATCTCAAACCTCGACGCGTTCGCTGGAGGAGGACGAGGAGGAGCATGAGGAGAAGCAAGAGGAGGTGGAAGAGGACGACGAACGGAGTAGGAGGATGAGGAGGAGGAGGAGAAGGAGGAGGAGGAGCGCCAGTAGCTTAGCAGGAGGAGGAAGATGAGGCGGAGGAAGAGGAGGAGGAGGAGCCGAGGAGGAGGAGGAGGAGAAGGAGGAGGAGGCGGAGCCTCTGCCCCTCGTTCAGGGACACGGGTGGAGGGCGGAGGGCGGTCGAGGGCAGGGAGACAAAGGCAAAGGCGGGAGGGAGACGAGCTGCCGTCCTGGAAGCCGGGCAGCGTGCCCTCGCGGACGGGCAGCTCGGCGGGCAGCTCCACCTCGAGGTCGGCCTTCGGGGCCCCCCAACCCGGACCGCGTGGTGACCTCGGAGCCCCCAGCGATCTCACCGCGCGGCACGTCACTGCACGCTTTGGGGGCCGCGGAGGCCCCAGTCGCCCAAGACGCCCTCCGAGAACGACCGGCGCCCCCAAACCCGCGCGATAACCCCGAATCCCCACTCACACACCACGCGGCGTGGTCACCCCGCCGTTGGAAGGCCCCCGACGACCGCGGGCGGTGGCGCGGGCGCGGGCGCGGGCGCCGCCGGAGCCGCGGCCCGCTGTGGCGCCGGCGGCGGTGGCGGCGTAGGGGGCGGCCCGAGGTCGGGCGGCGGGGCGGCGGGGGAAACGGGGCGCTGCCACTGCTGGCCTCTCGCGGGGGCAGCGCCTCCTCCTCCTCCTCCTCCTCCTCCTCCTCCTCCTCCTCCTCCCCTCCTCCTCTCCTCCTCCTCCTCCTCCTTCCTCCTCCTCCTCCTCCTCTCCCCCTCCTTCCCTCCTCCTCCTCCTCCTCCGCCTCCTCCTCCAACTCCAACTCCTCTCCTCCTCCTCCTCCTCCTCCCTCCTCCTCCCATCCTCCTCCTCCTCCTCCTCCTCCTCGCTCCTCCTCCTCCTCCTCCGCTCCTCCTCGTCACCGCCCTCGTCCTCCTCCTCTCCTCGTCCTCCACCTCCTCTCTCGTCATCCCTTTCCTCCTTCTCCTCATTCTCCTCCTCCTCCTCCTGCTCATCCTCCTCTCCTCCTCCTCGGCTCCTCCTTGCACCGCCTCCTCCTTCTCCGCCTCCCTCTCTCCTTCTCCTCCTTTCACGTCCTCCTCCTCTCCCTCCCTTCCCTCCTCCTCTCCTCCTCCTCCTCCTCCTCCTCCTCCTCTCCCCCTCCTCCGTCTTCCTCCTGCCTCCTCCTCCTCCTCCTCCTCCTCCTCCTCCTGGTCCTCCTCCTCCTGCTCATATCCTCTCCCTCCTCTTCCTCCTCCTCCTTCTCCTCCTCCTTCTTCCCTTCGCCCTCTCTTCTCTCCGCCTCCCTCCTCCTCCTCCTCCTCCTCCTCCTCCTCGTTTTACTCCTTAGCCTCCTCGTCCATGTTCCTCCTTCTTCTTCTCCTCCTCCTCCTCCGCCCTCCTCCTCCTCCTCCTCCCCTCCTCCTCCTCCTCCTCCTCCTCTCCCCTCCTCCTCCTCCTCCCTCCCCTTCCTCCTCCTCCTCCTAATTCCTCCTCCTCCTCCTCCTCCTCCTCCTCCTCCTCCTCCGCCTCCTCTTTCTCATCACACCATCTTCCGCACGACTCCTCCTCATCGTCCTCCTGCCTTCCTCTTTCTCGTCCTCGTCCTGGTTCATAGCTCATCCTCCCCCCCACCACACCGTCTCGTCAGCTGCTTCTCCTCCCGCTTGCTCGTCCTCTTACTCTTCCTCGTCAACGTCCTCTTCATCTCCCACCTCCTCCAGGACTCATCCTGGTCCTCCTCCTCCTCCTCCTCCTCTTCCTTCTTCTTCCTCTCCTCCTCCTCCTCCTCCTCCTCCTCCTCCTCCTCTTCCTCCTCATCCTCCTCTACCTCCTCCTTGGTTGCCTGGCGATGGCGCTGACTGCTGCTGAGCGGGGGCACCCTGCTGGTACGTCGGCGCGGGCGCTGGCGCGGACACGGAGTTCTGAACCTGGGGGTGTGGTGGGGGAAATTCCATACGCCACATGTGCCCCTCGTCGTCCCGCGACAACCTCTTATCCCCTCCTTCTCTTCATCCTCTTGCTCCTCCTCTTCATGATCCTCCTCCTCCTCCTCCTCCTCCTCCCTCCTCGGCTCCTCCTCCTCCTCTCCTCCTCCCCTCCTCCTCCTCCTCCTCCTCCTCCTCCTCCTCCTCCTCCTCCTCCTCCTCCTCCTCCCCCTCCCCCTCCTCCTCCATCTCTCGTTCTCATGCGTGCCGCATGCCTGTCGCACCGCCAGACGCTTCACCCGAGACCTCCTCGCCGCTGACCGTACTTGATCCGGAAATCCCCAACAATTGCACACGGCACTGGGGCTCTCGCCTTGGCTCCACGCTCGGTCGCTTTCGACAGCAGGAGCACGTGCCCCCCTACAGGTGATCTTGGGCGAAAACATAAAACCAATACCCTAACAAATAGCTCAACATATTCAAACATAATCGAACATCGTCCCCAGGCTATGTGTTCAAACTATGTTTGAATATTCCCTCTGTAGGGGGACTGGCCCGACTTACAACTACACAGATGGAGGGCGGGTCCTTTTCAAAATGGTGTTCTCGCCTTGGCGCCGCGCGCACTCGCCTTAATCACGTCGAACAATTTCCCTGTCGGACGGCGAATCGTTTTCACATTGGGCTCTCGTCTTGGTGCCGCGGGCAATCGCTTGCAAACAACGCATCAGGCAGCTATCGCGTGACACTTCGGTGAAATTACAAGAGATGCACAGCTGCGCAGAACTACGAGACGCCAAGCAATGCGCACCAGCTTCTTTGCGTGAGCTGTACGGCCTTACTTTGTCGCATTCCTGACGGCTCAACAAAGATGGCAAGTTGCTTTCCTGGGAGGCGCTTCGTGCAGTGAAACACGCATGCTGGCCGGGACTCGCAAGCAAGGGGCTTGGGACAAAAGGGTGTATTGCAGCAGTGTTGGCGCGTGTTTGGTTTACCCAGTCCTCCTTCACCCCTGGTCCGTATAAGCCACTCCTCCCTGTCGCGCCCCTAGGCTGGTCGAAAGGGCGGGCAGGGTGTTTCGCCTGAGACTTCCTCAACACTCATGACCACGAGACTTCGAAGATACAGCCATTTCACTGATGACGGGCGGCCAATTTTCAAAATGTGGCTCTCGCCTGAGCGCCGCGCGCACCCGGTTTGCAACATGTGGCTCGCGCCCCAGCGCCGCGCACATCATCTGCACACCAGTGCACGAATTTGACGGATTGAGGGCACGCCGTTTGTTTTAATTTGACTCTCGCCGTAACGCCTCGCTCATTCGTCTTAACACTTTCAAGGGCGCTATGGATTGAGGGCGGTTCCTTTTGAGAATGTGGCTCTCGCCGTAGCGCCGCATTACTACCGTTGTAACGATTCTCATGGTTAGCGACCCAGAAGTGGTGTTTTGGCACGGCGTCGGACTACCAGGGAATGCCAGTTACGTTGGCTCGTGGTGGTGAAGCCAATGGTACGATTTATTTAAAGCAAAGCACAACAGGGTGATTCGCGACGTTGCAGTCCCAGCAATGGCGTTCTGACACACTTCAACATGATCGAAGGGTTGTTCTCCATCGGGGCCCTTCCTTCAGTGTGTTAAGTGAACACTTGTTAAGGGAACTATGAAGAGGGAACTTGGGAGGGTCATTGCAAAACCATTGGTGAGTCTTGGGTTTGCACTGGTCCTCCTCGTCCTCGTCCTCCTTCTCCTCTTTCCTCGTCTTCTCTGCCTTCCTCTCCTCCCCCTCCTCCCCCGATCGCTAGCTCCCGCCCCTCCTCTCCCCTGGGGGGGCGGAATGGAAGAGGGGCGATCCTCCTCCTTCTCCTCCTCTTCCTCGTCTCCTCCTCGTCCCCGGATCGTCCTCCCCTCCACCTCCTTGGAGGATAGGGGGTGGGAAGGGGGAGTGGTCGTCACGCATACGCCCAACAGTGTGTGTGTATGTGTATGTGTGTGCGTGTATGCGTGCGTGTGTGTGTGTGTGTACCTGTGCGTATGCGTGTTCGTGTGCGTGTGTGTGTGTGTGTGCGTGTGTGTGAGAGTGTGTGTTCAACAGCCCACAGTGTGTGTGTGTGTGTGATATGTATGTGGTCTGTTTGTGTCTTCCCCACGCTGCGTGGACCACCGTTCGCAGAAAGTTGGCGTCGCCCCAGAGGTCGGGCGTCTGGCCCGCCACGCAGGCCGACGGGCCCTGGGTGCCGCCCACGCGGATCACCTCGGGGCCCCCCGCCTCGACCACCACAGTCCAGCGCTCTCCCCCCTCCCCCCCTACTGCTCCCCCCCCTTCTCTTCGTGTCCTCCCCCTCCTCCCCCATTTCCTCTCCTCCTCATCCTCCTCCTCCTCCTCCTCCTCCTCCCCCATCCCTCCTTTGGTCTCCTTCTCCACCCCCCTTCCTTGTATCCTCTTCCAGCCCCGTCTCTGCGCCCGCATCATCTCATCCTGTTCCCCTGCCACTCATCCTCCTGCCCCTCTTCTCCTCCTCCTCCTCCTCCTCCTCCTCCTCCTCCTCCTCCTCCTCCACAGCATCTTCGCACATGCAGCTCTTTCCCCCTGTCTTCATCATCATCGACTCCTTTACTGCTGTGTGCCCCTCTTGCCCCCCTTCTCCTATTTCCCTGCGTTCCTGCTCCCCCCTCAGGGCGTGACTGCTCCCAACACACACACACACCGCCCTGCCCCATCGTTCCCACTCTTCCGCCACGAACGCTCCCGCTGCCCATCCCAACACATTCACCGCCGCAACCCCTGCGATCACAGTGGACGGCACACACATGCTTCTATATATGCGTGTGTATACATGCATGCATGTATGTATACATGGATATACGTATCGTTTACCCTCAGTGCGAAGAGCCCATGCGGTGGCCTGTGAGGGTTCGCGCGGGATTCTCGTACTCCCCGATCAGGCGCAGCACCTGCCTAAACAGGCAAACGTGCGTCGCGGCCTCAAAGATCACGCCAGCGGGTCGTGCTCCCCAGTGCGAAACTATGGCAATCCGTTCGTTGTTATATACGGCGTGTTTACATCCACAACGCGCGCATAGCGTGCAACTGATGGCTGTGGTCGCGCTTCCCCAGTCTCTCTATGGCCCTTCGTGCAATCGGGCGCTGGGCCCGCTCGACGCACACATGCGGCGGAGCAGAACTTCTCTGTTGCCCCGCCGCCACAGCACGTGCGCTGTTGACCTGTGGAGGATGAGGGTCGTGGGCGGTGACAGCTGTTGGGCTAAAGGGAAGGAAGCTCAGACTCCACCATCTGCCCTCCATCGAAAGATGATGCTCCGCCCGAACCCGATCGAGACCGGCTCCTGGACCCCTCACAGACAATGGCATGGCCCGCTGAACAAGGACTTGATACATCAGAACACGGGCGCGCCCCGGAGAAACAAGCCGCGGGTCGAAGCAATCTCCATTACTCGTTCTCTCCAGGTGTTAATGTTCAAAGTTCTGGTTAGCACGATCCTGGTCCAAACACATTACTTGACATCCTTATGTGTATCCTCCTGCTCCGCCTCTCTCCTCACCTGCGCCAACCCCCCGTCACGACTTCCACACCCTGGCCCTCTCCCTCCTCCTGCCTCCCTTCTCTTCTTACACTTGTTTCACGTAGCTCAAGACCTGAGGCGAACGCCTGAAGCGCTCTCCTTCCGTTCCTCCTCCTCCTCCTCCTCCTCCTCCTCCTCATCTCGTTTCTCCTCCTCCTCCTCCTCCTCTCGTTCCTCCTCCTCTTCCTTCTCCTCCTCTTCTTCCTCCTCCTCCTTCTCTTCCTCCTCCTCCTCCTCCTTCTCATTCTCCTTCTCCTCCTCGTCCCTTTCCTTCTCCTCCGCCCCGCTCTGTCGCGTGCGGTGCCTTCCACTGCAGGGCGACGAGATCTACACTCCGCTGCCGCTGGCAAGGCCCATCCTTGGCCCAAAATCTGTGGACATGCCTCCCGCGTCCGCCCTGTCCGTCGTTTCCCCTCTCGTGCATGCTGGGCAACTCCCTTCTCGGGGCCCTCGCTTAGCCCTGTCGCTGGTGCAGCCATTCTGCCTCGCCGCCGACGAAGACGTGCGCCTGCCTCCCTGGCCGAGCCAGGGGTGTGCGCATACACCGCTCCCAGGCCCAGCATGGCAGTGGCCCCAGCCCAGGGCGGTGGGCATGCATAGATCATCGATCTCATCGCCCCGAACCTGGCCATCGCTCGGACGTCCATTCCCTGTGCTTTTGTTCGGTTTCGTGCGTGGTTGTTTCGCCAAGTGATCAAGGATGCTCCTCGATGGTCCTCGCCGACAAAAAATGCACACGTCCGAGCGATGCCAGGGAACTGGCACCCTCGCGGTGTGGGGGGCGGAAGGGAGGTCGGGCCAGCGAGGGCGCCGAGGGGCTCCCAGGTCGCCGTCACGGTCTCGGACACGCTGGTCACGCCCATGGACGCCAGCGCGGCCTGGTAGCGTTCGCCCTCGACCTGGCTGCTCGTGGGCCTGTACCGGTCCGCGGGCGTCGGCATGCCTTGGAGGGAAGAGAGGCGAGAGAGGTGGAGAGAGAGGGGAGGGGCAGAGGGAGAGGGACAGGAAGAGGGAGGAGGAGGGGGAAGAGGAGGAGGAGGAGGAGGACGAGGAGCATGAGCAGGAAGACAGGGAAATGGATAGGGGCAGGGGGGAGAACTAACAGGAGGAAGAAAAGGGAGATCGGGAAGCTGTCGGTCGGTTTTCGATCCATAATTCGGGCCTCTGGCGGCAGCTCGAAGAGTTAAATCGGGCATGTCCTCCTACAGGCGGATTTTGGACGAAAACTAAAAAAGAGCCCCAACATATGCCCAAATAGTCAAAAATACTATAAGACTCGTCCCCAGACTATTTTTTTACTATTTGTGGATACTCCTCATGTAGGAGGGACAGGCCCGACTTGATCAAAGAGTTGAGGATGAGGAGGCGGAGGGGGGTGGAGCGCGCAGGGCATGCGGAGGGAGCCCGGCGCGCCGCAGAAGACTTTGGCCTCGAAGCTGGCGCCCGCTCCGGCCGCGGAGGCGTACCAGAGCTTGATGCGCTCCGGCATGGCGTCGGCGTTCGGCGTCATGGCCACCGCCGACACGGTCCCGCCAGGATGGACGACCTGGGGAGCGAAGGGTGTGCGTGCTTGCTTTTTTGTTTTCCCAATGGCCCACACGTATCTGTTTCGGTTTAGGTATCCTCGTCTGTCTGTTCTGTATTATGTTGTGATATCTCTCTCTCTCTCGCTCTCGGACTCTCTTTTTCTCTCTCTCTCTCTCTCTCTCCTACATATCCATCCACACGGAGCCACAGCGTCATACACGGCTTCGACTTCACGAAGAACAAACTGCGCATCTCGGGGCGGAATATCGTGACACACCATTGGCTCGCCAAGGGCTCTGCCTCGAGAAGCGCTCCTTCTCTCTCTCTCTCTCTCCCTCTCTCTAACTCTCCATCCCTCTCTATATGTCTTGATGCATTGATGGTGCATCAACACGTAAGTGAAGGCGGGATGGGAAGGGGCAGACGGTCTCTCGCTGTCCCTCGGCACGCGGCTGAAATGGGGCTCCGCGATGCTGATTCTCGCTGTGTTGTGTTATGCGCATGCTGATGCTGATGAGCTCTCCCTTCTGGGAAATAAATATGGCTGGTTCCCCCGTCAAGCGCGCCTTCCTCTGTCAATCAAAATGCGAAGCCTGGGGCTCTCGACCTGATCTATCAGGGAAAACCTTCAGACTCAAACTGCGCTGTTCACCCCCGCGCTACCACAAGAACGGCTCCCGCCTCAGACTCCCCGACATGATGATTGAGGATTCGCGTTCTCGCTTGCGCCACCCCTGCAACTTAGGCAGGGATCGCACTCTCGTCTAGGATGTTTTCGCCATTTCCGAAGTCGCTGCTTTCTCAACATCCAGGGATCGCACTGTCACGTGAATATTTCTTACACTTTATTTGAAAACGCGTGGTGTCGCTTAAGGTTTCTTCGGCATTCACTCTGTAACGCCTCTCACGTCTCATCGGGGTAGAAACCAATTGGATGCATGCTGCTATCTGGAGCGTCGTACTGCCCACTCATCTTGCATCCTTTCGCCGGAAATTCAGCCCCAACAAAGCTCTCAGAAATTCCCGGAAGGCTTTCGGAGGGTCGTAAAGGTGCCAATCAGATCCGAGAACTCGGTTCCTAGAGCTCGATTTTAAAGTCCCGTCGTGCGCTCAAAGGGTACACCGAATGTCGTCGTGGTGTTTGGTGTTGGCCCTATCACATCCTTCGTTGCTATCCTCTCTACTATTTTCCCACCTGCTTGGTTATCACGCTGTACTTCTGTGAATGTGTCGTTCCTCTTCGCCCTCATCGTCCTTATCCGTCTCATTGGCCTCCTCCTTCTCCTCCTCCCCCTCTGCTACTCCTCCCCCTCTGCTCCTCCTCCTCCACCTTCTCCCCTCTCTCATTCCCTCCCTCCCCTCCCTCCCTTCCTCCGTCCGTCCATCCTCCTCCTCCGCTGCCTGCTGGTCATGTACCTCCTCCCTTGCCTCCTTATCCTCTGCCTTTTCTTCTTATTATTCTTCTTCGTCTTTTTATTTCTCCTCCTCCTGCCCTCCCTGCTCCCCCATCACTCCCTGCCGCGCGATGGACCATGGAACAGCCCGGAGCTTTTTGAAATTGCGGGGGCCTCCTGGAGCCTCATGGGGCCTCCTGGAGCCTTCTGGGGCATCCTGGGGCATCCTGGAGCTTTCTGGGGCATCCTTGCGCCTCCTGGAGTCTCCTGAAAACTCTTGGGGCGTTTTGAATCGTCCTGGGGCCTCCTGGGATTTGTTAGGGCATCCAGGGGCCGTGCGGGGCCTCCTGGCCCATCCTGTGGCGTCCCGAAGCTTCCTAGAGCCTCCTGCGACCTCCGGAGCTTCCTGGAATTTCCTGGGGCCCCCTGGGGCCTCCAGGGCTGTCGAATGCCATCCGAACGAGAGTATGCTCTAGGGGGCGGTCCCACTCGTTGCAATAAGTTTTGGCTTCTCTGGACCGCCCCGGGGGGCCCTTGAAGAAGTCCCGCGCGGGGCTTTCAAAATAACTACGGCGACGAGGATGGAAACCATTCCCTTGAAAAAAAGGATTACCCCGGCAAAGCAACCTAACAGCGATGTGTAGGAGCATATCTGGAAGCATTCCCCTTAAGATTCAGATGAGAATCCAGTTGTAGAATTCTGCTGTTCTCGCAGTCGTAGTCGCATTCGCGATGACAGTCGCAGTGGCCTGCATCAGCCTCAGCCTCAGCCTCAGCCTGCCTCAGCCTCAGCCTCAGCCTCAGCCTCAGCCTCAGCCTGCTTCAGCCTCATTCTCAGTCTGCCTGCAGCCTCGGCCTCAGCCTCAGCCTGCCTCAGCCTCAGCCTGCCTCAGCCTCGGCCTCAGACTCAGCCTCAGCCTCAGCCTCAGCCTCAGCCTCAGCCTCAGCCTGCCTCAGCCTCAGCCTGCTTCAGCCTCAGTCTCAGTCTGCTTTCAGCCTCGGCCTCAGCCTCCGCCTGCCTCAGCCTCAGCCTGCATGAGCCTCAGCCTCAGCCTCAGCCTGCCTCAGCCTCATCAGCCTCAGCCTCAGAGCCTCAGCCTCAGCCTGCCTCAGCCTCAGCCTCAGCCTGCTTCAGCCTCAGCCTCAGTCTGCCTTCAGCCTCGGCCTCAGCCTCCGGCTGCCTCAGCCTCAGCCTGCATCAGCCTCAGCCTCAGCCTCAGCCTGCCTCAGCATCAGCCTGCCTCAGCCTCAGCCTCAGCCTGCCTCAGCCTCAGCCTCAGCCTGCTTCAGCCTCAGCCTCAGTCTGCCTTCAGCCTCGGCCTCAGCCTCAGCCTGCCTCAGCCTCAGCCTGCATCAGCCTCAGCCTCAGCCTCAGCCTGCCTCAGCATCAGCCTCAGCCTCAGCCTCAGCCTCAGCCTGCCTCAGCCTCAGCCTCAGCCTGCTTCAGCCTCAGCCTCAGTCTGCCTTCAGCCTCGGCCTCAGCCTCAGCCTGCCTCAGCCTCAGCCTGCCTCAGCCTCAGCCTCAGCCTCAGCCTGCCTCAGCCTCAGCCTCAGCCTGCCTCAGCCTCAGCCTCAGCCTGCTTCAGCCTCAGCCTCAGTCTGCCTTCAGTCTCGGCCTCAGCCTCAGCCTCAGCCTCAGCCTGCCTCAGCATCAGCCTGCCTCAGCCTCAGCCTCAGCCTGCCTCAGCCTCAGTCTCAGCCTGCATGAGCCTCAGCCTCAGCCTGCCTTCAGCCTCGGCCTCAGCCTAAGCCTGCCTCAGCCTCAGCCTGCCTCAGCCTCAGCATCAGCCTGCCTCAGCATTCAAAATGTGGCCCGGGAATGGAATTCTGGGAACTCGAAGAACACGAAGTGGCCTACAGTTGGCTCCAGGCATTCAGTTTCATGCCCAGGAATGGAGTTCTGGGAACTCGAAGACCACGAAGTGGCCTACAGTTGATTCCGGGCATTCAAAATCATGCCCAGGAGCGGAGTTCTGGGAACTCGAAGACCACGAAGTGGCCTACAGTTGGCTCCGGGTATTCAAAATGTGGCCCGGGAATGGAGTTCTGGGAACTCGAAGACCACGAAGTGGCCTACAGTTGGCTCCAGGCATTCAGAATGTAGCCCGGGAGTGGAGTTCTGGGACCTCGAAGACCACGAAATGTGTAACTGTTTGCTTAAAACGACTTCCGCGGATTCTCCCCGGCACCCGTCCGGCATCTGCCCAGACCCCCCTGAGGAGTCAAGATGCTTTCTTTTGAAACCATTAGAAACCGATCAGTCTTCGCTGTTAGGTAAGAAGAATGAAGAGTAAATGAATGACGGCACCCTCCGATTTAAACCGAAAGCCGTATTTGCTTTTCCTCGCTGCGACGCCGGTTCCCCACAATCCCTCCCCGAAGTCCCGCCTGGCCAGGGAAGGTGCCTTTTCTCGGTCTCGCTGGTAAGAAACACTTCCCCCCACTTGACGGTGAAGGAGGGCAGGCGGCGGGTGTGGGCGGGTTGGCGGGTTGGCTGGGGGGCGGGATGGCTGGCTGGGATGGTTGGCTGGCGGGCTGGATGGGCGGCGGGGTGGCTGGTTGTGCTGTTTGGTCAGCGGGGCCATTCGTTGCGACGAAGATTGCTTTAAAGCCCCGCCCGCCCGACCCGCTCGCCAAGGCCCGCCCGCCCGATCAGCCCGTTAGTGTCAGTGTCCGCCCGACCTGCCCGTTGAGGTCCGTCCCTTCGCCTGCCAGGAAGCCCGCCCGCCCGCTTCAATGTCCCGCCCGGGTCGCCCGTTAGGATCCGTCCGCCCGGCCGCCCGTCAAGGTCCGCCCGCCCGACCCGCGCATTTGGGTCCGCCCGCCCGACCTGCCCGCCCGTGAGATCCCGCCCGCCCGACCCGCCCGTTAGGGCCGACCCCCGCCCCGTCAGGGTCCGCTTGCCAAAATCATTGTTCCTGTCTCCTGCCCCTTCTGCAAAATCTTACTCACCCTCGGGACTCCTTCCTTCCTCTTGCCCGCCTCCCTTCTCGTTTCATCATTATTGCAATGGTGTTTCCCTTTTCCGTTGTCCCTCCACTTCCTCCTCCTCCTCCTCCTCCTCCTCCTCCTCCTCCTCCTCCTCTTCCTCCTCCTCCCTTCCCTTCTCCTCCTCCTCCTCCTCCTCCTCCTCCTCGCCCTCCTCCTCTTCCTATTGTGGGAGCCGCGTCACTTGCACGAAGAACGAAATTTTCCTGAAAGTAAGACGCCGGGACCGAAAGTTTGGGATAAACATGCTGGAAGCAACGAAGGACGACAACGAGCGAAATCATGCATGAGGTCGTCGTCCTCGTCGTCGTCGTCGTCGCCCCCGTGACACGCCACGCCGCGACCCAACCGGCGACCCACCCCGCGATCCACCCGCGACCCACCCGAACATGTTCAAGGCAACGAGAAACGAACAACAACGTAATGATGTATGTTGTCGTCGTCGTCGCCCCTGTGACACGCCACGCCACGACCCTGCTGGCGACCCACCCCGCAGATCGGTGTGGCGGCCCCAGCGCCCCACCCTCCTCCTCCTCCTCCTCCTCCTGCTGCTGCTCCTCCTCCTCCTCCTCCTCCGAGCGCACTCCCATGAGAAGACCGAGTCCCGCCGCGTGCGGGCGTCCTCGTGCTGCAGCTTGTGTAGCACCTCGAGCTGGGGCCAGGCCTGAAGGCCTGGGGGTAGACGACCTTGCGCCAACCTC